ACAGCTTGACTCAAATGTAATCTGGAAACCACAAAGATGAACTCCAGGAACCTTGCTATAGGCCTGGAAAATTCAATCAAGGTGTAGTTGAATAAGGTATCCAGTGTAGAGGGTCTGGAACCTCTTTCCTGAATTGCTCTGGTGCTGGGAACTGGCTTGGTTTGTGTAGGTTTTTGCCACAGCTGGAAGCTAGCTTGCTGGGGCCAATGAATCTCCCCACAAAAGATCCTAAAATTCAAGGTGAGTTACCCACTGACCAATTGAGGGATGGCGGATCCACTTGTAACACTTTCAGCCAAGCGAATTGACCTCTTGGTTGGCTCGGAGCTCTCCGAGTTGGTCTCTTGGGTAGGTTGGATCCGTCTCGAGCGAGTTCACGGAATTTCAATGACTCGACGAGAATCACCGTAAATCTTGAAAATGTGAGCGAAACGGTTACCGGCTGGTGGGCCTGCTTTCGGTACCGGGGAACGCAGTCTGTATAAGTGCAGAACCGGTACGGAAACTCGTGCAATAAAGCTTCGAAAATCCGGGATCGAACTGGACTTCACGTACTGACTCAGTGCACGTGCAATAAGTACCGATAACTGCACGGACGATCATGATTGGGCTGAGCGGCTTTCGAAAAGAAGGTCGATTCGTTCCAGGATGTTCCGTGGGTCGCTGAATCCAGTACAGGGCGGAAACTCGTGCACACTACGAAAATTTGCGGCACTGCGGAGAGTATTAAGCCTCGAAAAAACAACATAAATCTGAGTGTTCCGTGGAATCTTCCCCAAAGGAATAAGCCCGTACTCGAAAGAGTTACTTGCTCGTTGCTCTTGATAAAAGCCAAGTTACCTCGAGCGTAAAAGGCTTGCGTCGTATTGCCAAGATAGGTGCATAACCAATAAGTCTCGTCTGCACCGTACTCCTGATAGCTGCTTTTCGGGCGAATTGGTGCTTTTTGTGCTTTTTCCTCGTGTTGTGGGTGCTAGCACGCTAGCTACCGAGTGCCTCAAGTCAATGGCGTTGTTGTGGAGATGGTAGCTTTTGTAGGTCCTTTTGCAATGGCAATGGGCTTGGTTTGTTTTTTTTTGGTCCTTGTAGATGGTAGAGGACCAACTGAAAGGTTCCTGACACTGTGGAGAAGGCTGGAACTATCAGAATTGACCAGAAGGTTGTTGACTGAGGACTTCAAAATGGGCCTGAAATCACCTTCAAAATGCCAATGAAAATTCAATGAATCCAACTCGGTAGCTGTAAGCACTGATTTGTTGTATTATCGAAGAGATCCTTTTCTGTCAAAGGGGTCTTCATCCTTCCCTTAAAACTGCCTGAAGTTCTATGCGACTGTTAATCCACATATGTTTCATTGAAGTGATCAGTTCCAGTACTAAGTAGTGGACTGGTCTCGCTGAAAACCTTCCTCAGGAGACATCGGTAGTCAGGCAGTTCAGGGAGCCTTGTCGTGCCTCAGGAGTGTTCCAACACCTCCAGTAGGCACCAAACCAAGGACTTGGCCCTGTCAGTCAGACAGAGGGCCAGAGAGCTCTCTGCTGGACCCTTTGCCAGCTCACCTAGGAGCTGGTGGCCTTCGTTATTCAATCGTGTCAGTGGCAGTCTGGGAACAGTACTATCGCTACCTCCTACTGCTTCTGCCCGGCCTCAACAGGATAGATATCAACTGCTGCGGTATAAAGGGGCTACAAGCTAATTAGGATCGGTCTCAATCTTTCGTACTACTTTTCTTAACTATGATGGAAAGGACGATCCTTTCTTGCTGCTTTGTCTGGAGATAAGCCAGCTGTGGTGCTGGAGCTGTAGGCCAGCATAGCTGTTGGAGCTATCTCTGACGGGATCCAGAGCCTCTCGCTCCTAAAAGTTATTCAGAGGGATGTGCTGGTTAGTTACAGGCATGGGATCACTGGACATAAAGTTTAATCAATCTCTTTGATGATCTTGCTTGCATCGACAACCATACATGAAACATTTTCACCAGGAACTTGGTGAGTCCAAGTGAAAAGCTTGGCTTTGAGGGTTCTATCTTTCTGAGAGTAAGGTTTGTATATTTTCTGAAGAAGAGCCAGAGAAGCTGGGGCCCATTGTGCTTGGCTCGAGGGACATATTATTTCAATTCCTCCTGGAGGGCATCATGCAAGAGTTCAAGACAGCCTTTCCCGACCAGGCAAGGTTGGTTGATCATACTGGCAAACAGATGTGTTGCTTCAGAGTCCCAGCATCGATGAATCCAACCCCATTTACTGTGAGATCCTGAAGCCATTTGTCCATCATAGATTCTGAGACCTGCCCAGAGAGGTGAACATTTGATTTTTTTATGGTGTTAGTATTAAGGTCACCAAACAACAAGCTCAAAGATCCCTTCCATTCCATGTTCAGTCATCATACTTTCAAGGCGCGTGAGAGAGGCTAAAAATGGACCAGAGGCATTTGACTCAGTCAAAGTCGAGAATAGGAGACTGGGGGAATCCTTAGTCCTTTCTTGCATGCCAATTCAATGGGCTGGAGTGTAGTGTGATGTTTTAGATGGTCGTCTCCATGAAAACCCCTGAGGCATAGGGTGCTTTGAGGTTCCTTCCCAGTCCATCTGAGCCACGATCCTGTCCAGGCTCCAGTGGGTTGATACTCCAAGCCAAGGGGCTTCTGTAAGCTTGTCTTCTCTTTGTTTTCCCAATGTGCTGGAGAGCTCCTGGAATTGGACTGCGGTCAATGGTGCAGTAGTCATGGTTGGAGGATCAGATGGTGGGATTGGATCAGATTCAAAGAAGGCTTGTCTGAAGCCTTGTGGACTGAACAAGGATGCTGATGCTGGCGCTGCTGTTGAAGATGAAGATGCTGAAGCAGAGGAAGCGTCGTCAAGGTCCATCAAGTGAGAATCAACAAGAGAGGAGCAATGGCAATGGCAACAGCGGCAATGGCAACAGTGGCAACAGTAGAAGGAGCAGCAACAAGACCGGCAACAAGAGGAGGAGCGCGGTGGATAGCTAGTCAATCGAGTCAATCGAAGCTGGAGCTGGAGTTTATGAGCTTTCTTCGGGATCGATGAATCCTTCAAGCGGACGAGCGAATCTTTCAAACGGAGCGAGTCCGCGAGCGAATCTTCGTTTGAATGGTTCGAACGACCAACTGCAAGCCAGCTATCTGCAAGCCGGGCAAAACGACCAATGCCAGTCCTAGGTAGACTGAGCTTGTTGTTATCGATCGGCAGTTTGTTGTTGTTCGATACGTACGTAACCCGAGCGATGGATCGTCGTTCCGTGTTGTTGTTCGAAACAACATCAGTGTACCTCTCCGTCGAGTTAATGAAAAAGTGAGGAACTGAAGCATGACTCAATAAAAGACTTAAGCTCAGGTGAATCGAAATAAATAAATCATGATTCGAAGCATGACACACAAGCCGAGCCTTCGATATGCAGTTGATATCCATTTTTCGATGAATTCTGTTAACTCGATTCTCGCGATCGCGACCTCTGTTGTCGCGACCGATGAGATGATGCATGGCTATCATGGATAGGAGTCCACCGTATAACGTAGGCGGATCCTCATTGCGATTCTCGCGATCGCGACCTCTGTTGTCGCGACCGATGAGATGATGCATGGCTATCACGGATAGGAGTCCACCGTGAATTCTGTTAACTCGATCGATCGATCCAATCGATCGATCCATGCTGAAGCTGAGCATGGTCAAGGCTTTGCCGGTGACAGAGATAACAGTAGTAGTAGTAGAAGCAATAGTAGTAGTAGCCATAACAGAAGCAGTACCAGTAGTGGTTCCTGCATCGATCGAGTAAAGGGTGGACTCCCATAGGAGTCCATCGTATAATATAGGGTCCTCATCGCGATTTCGATCGACGACAGGATGAGATGAGTCCTTGTTGAGATTACGATCGTCAACAGGAAAGGGATCCTCATTGAGATTGCGATCGTCAACAGGATAAAGGAAAGGGGGATGATCAAGATAGGACAGGCCACAGATGAAGAATGCAAGAGGAAACTCAGGAGCAGTCTGCATCAAGGAGTAGCGAAATCCACTGACACCCATAAGGGATAGACATATAAGAATAAGAATGAGTAACATCTCATAACCTCGCATGCTACCATGCGACAATACCATTGTGCATTGACTAGTCTAAGGATCTAAGAGATGTAAAGTTTGTATTTCCAAATAAGTGAGCAGTTATTGATTATTTTCTAGAATAAGCCTGCAAATAATAAAGCTGTAAAGCTGAATTGTAAGCTGTATCCCGTCGCATGGTGCCCATCATTTGAGCTGGGTGTGCCGGGTGCAGGTCATTTGACTTGGACTGGGGTGCCGAGTGGGATGGACCAGCTCCTGGCTTGGCTTGTGCTTGATTGGCTTCCATGGTGGGTGGTAGTGTGTCATCCACTTGTTCAGGGCGATCCTTCTCCTCATCCTGCTCTACCATTTCAGAAAGGTGAGCCTGTCGTGCAAGTGGACCATGCTTGGGTGGGGATGACTCCATCAAGATCTTCTTGGCCTGGGGGACAGCCGGTGCCAGATGGACTTGTCTTCACATGGGAGTTGGCGGAAGAACTCATCGGGCAACCGGGTGGTTGGGTCCATATTGACATTGAATGCATCAATGTCTCCATCAGCTGGGGCCTCAATGTCTGGACCATCACAGTTGTCACCATCAATGTCATGCCAATTGACAGACCGACGGCGTGATGTTGCCCTGTTCCTGTCGTAGCTAGCGGCAGTCACCTTGATAACTTCGTAGTACTCCTCGAAGTTGTAACCAGACTTGTGCTCCAGGGTCATGCGCTCAATCTCATGGGAGGTGACTGCATGGAGCAATGGCACATCGGAGAGAGCACGCTAGAGTAGTGTCTTCTTGGTTTCCTCAGTGATGCGCTCAGTCTTGGCCTTGACGGCGTCATTGTACCTCTTGAAGTTCCGATTGAACTTGACAATAAAGTCCAGAGCGGCCTGCTTGGAAGGTGCAAAGGTGGTGGTGGTGAGCCAGCTGTAGAGTTCAGCCTGCTCCAACCTCCCATCCACGGAAGCATGTGCATCAAGGCGGAGTGCTGTCATGATGGCCTGGCAATTGACATCATTGAAGTGCCTCTCCACGATCTCCTTGCCAACTTCAGTCTTGACCTTCTCCTGGAGGACACTGTAGAACCACGCCTGCATCCTGTCCAATTCAGCCTTGTCCTCCTGGGATTGTGGCTCATAGGTACCATCAATCACTTTGAGGAGGCCTTGTGCCCGCAAGGTCACACTTGTGTGGACAAACCAGTTGGTGAAATGCTTGGTCCTGGTCAACTCCTTGTAGGCATCCCTGTCTTGCTTGGGTTGAAACCTTCTGGTAGTGTTGGGTGGTGGGCCAGAGCCTCCACCAGCACCATTAGGGTCTCCAGGTCCACCAGGGTCTCCAGGGCCACCAGGGCCTCCAGGTCCATACCTGTTGCCCCCGTGGTTATGGGGTCCACCATCAGAGTCTCCAGATCCTCCAGAGCCTCCAGGTTCATCAGGTCCTCCAGGCCCACCATGACCTACAGCCAGATTTGGGTCTAGGGTATTGATTGCTCCTCCAAGTTCCACCGCGATACACTTGATCTGGTGGTTGGTCAGGGCCAGGGCCATGGCCAGTGTAGCCCAGGTTGGATCCAATCACTGTGGTGCCACTGGGAAAGGGAACAATAGATTTGGGGGCATGTGATGCTGGTGCCTTGTCAAGGATCTTGAAGGGGGTTTGATGGTTTGGCTCTGGTGAAGGTGAAGGGGTTGGGAGCTGGGGCTTCATGTGTTGTTCCCATTCACCTGTGAGGTGTAGGAACTGTCCATTGGGATACATCCTCCCCAACCAGTGCTCAGGGGTCATGGCTACATTGGAGGGTAGCTGAGAGGCATCAAGGGGGTGTTGGTACCTGATCCAGACTCTCTTCCCAACCCAATTGAGGCCATACCTGCCACTGTAGTGTGTCTGTTGATCAGGCGGTGGAAGATCAGGAAAGATGACGTCTGGTTGCCTCGTGTAGTCAGTCTGTTGGATGGTGATCCTGGGGATGGTGAAGGGTGGAGGAGCCCCAGTGACTGGGGTGTACTGGAGTGGGTTTGGTTTGAATGCTTCCTCCTCCATGGAGGGAACCTTGACAGGAACCTTGACAGGAACCTTGGCAGGAACCTTGGCAGGGTGGACTCCATTGCCGGTGAGGTAGGTGGCAACATCAATGAAGGCATCTGCCTCCTGCTTCAAAGCAACATCACCTTCGGACTGGTCTCCAGGCATGGTGTTGGGAGTGAGTGCAGTGGGTCCTCCTTGATTCTCAGCCAAGGGCTTGTTAAACGCCTTCTCCTGCTCCTCAACACCATGTTGTTCCTGGGCTACAGGGCGGATTGGTGAAGCCAAGCTTGGTTCATAGAACCTATGGCTGATCTCCATGGAGTCCAAGTGTTGTTGAGCCCTCTCATCAAGCTGATTGATGGACTTCTTCAACTGTTGGATGAATGAAGTCTCAATAAGGTCCTGGTGGCGCTCCTCCATGCGCTTGGTGAGAGTGGCGACATCGGCTTGCTGCGCCCTCAAAGCGGATCCATCAATCACTTGGCGCTTGCCAGTGGCTTCCACAGAAGCTTGCTGCGCCTTCATGGATGCTTGCTGCATCTCCAAACGCAGAAGGATAGTTTGAAGCATAGCAGGTGGAAGAAGGGGTGGTGGCAGTAGGTGGGAGCGATGGGGGATCCCTGCTTCCATCATGGGTGGAGGTAGCCACGGAACCATCAGCATCAACAGCAGGGGGATGGGTGAGGATGGTTGTGGGTGGCTGGTTGCCATCTTGAGGAGTGGCTGCAAGCTCTGCTGCATTGGCAGCTGTCATCCTCCTTTCCTTCCTCCTCTTCTTCTCAGACTTGTTTACCATGTTGTGCTTGTGCTTGTAATAGGCACACCGTAATAGACTGAAAGCTGAAAATCACCTGAAATGTGAGTCTATTTCGCGGGAACTCGGCCGTGAACACGTTGCACCTTGTATAAGTCTTCGGAGGGAACTCTCTAAGTCTTCGAGTTGATCCGTGGGCTTCCAGGATCAATCCGGAATTCCTGGGGCTTCCGAGGACGTTCCGGGTGACTTCGTGGAGTTAATGCGCGAACCGGTACGAGAACTCGTGGAACAGCGAAAACTGCATGGGCACTGGTAGGAGAACTTGAAGAACAGCAAAAACTGCACGGACGATCTGTGACCGGTACAAGAACTCGTGAAACTGCACGGACGATCTGATTGGCTGATCGGGCTTCCGTGACCGGTACCGCCTCCCTGTAACTTGTGAGATCGTTCCAATGGCTTCTAGTAACCGGTACGGTGTACCTCTGTGGATGGTCTGTTAACTCTTCTTGTTCTCCGATTGACTTGACCTTTTCAACCTCACAATTCGCCGTGAAATCAGCACGAGTTTTCGTCGTATGGCGATTTCGCGAACTCGAGGATGGTAGGGTCCTTGATTTCGACCTTTGAAGGCTTGCAGAGACTTGTTCTTGGGTAATTCAGACCCTGCGGATCCACTGGCGGCCTCGAATCACAACAAAAATCGCTGTGTGGATCAGTATGAGTCAAAAGGTAAGATTTCTTGGAGGTCTCCAACTTGGACTCGAGCTCTGATTCACTGGGCCTGTTCGTCTGTAGCAATATCTTCTCTTTTGATGCTATTGCGACTGTTTAATCCAATAAGTTCTTGAAAGGATCAGGGTAGATCTACAAGAGATGAGGATGGCCACAGGGCCTCCTCTGCTTACAGAGTTTCCAGCTCCTGGAGCTGGTACCGATGTTATTCTATCACGATGCTGGGCAGCCTAGCGAATGCTATCAGCTTACCTCTCAATGCCACTGCTCAGCCTCAACAGGATAGGTATCTACTGCAAAGGAACAAGGGAGCTACAGGTCTATGGAGATGGTATTCAATTCATACATTCAATTCTTAGGACTATGAGCAAAAAGCATGCATCCAAATAATTGGGTGTTATGCAGGATTTGAGCACTCTGAGCCACACTGAGGCTCCTGGATCCTCCTGAGGTCACCTGATTGAGTAGATGCTCGCCTCATGGCCATCTGGGGTGATACAGTGGTCAAAACCTTCATATGGGACCATATGGGGCTTCCCTGGTTCCATATGTATGGCCTGTGTCTCACCAGTACCAACCAAGATTCTCTATATCTTTGCTTGTTCCACATACCATGTGGGTACCAGTAACATAAGGCAGACAGTTTGTTCTCACACTCACCACGTTGATCCCATGGATCCAACCCACATTTTATCGCTCCCCTCCATCGGATTCATCCGGGGTGAGGGTGTCCAGGGTATTCCCTTTCCAGAACATCACAGACAGTTTGTTCTCACACTCACCACGTTGATCCCATGGATCCAACCCACATTTTATCGGTGGTAGTCAGGCAGCAAGGGAGCCTTGTCGTGCCTCAGGAGTGTTCCAACACCTCCAGTAGGCACCAAGCCAAGGACTTGGCCCTGTCAGTCAGACAGGAGGGCCAGCAGAGCTCTCTGCTGGGCTCACCTCAGGAGCTGGGGGCCTTCGTTATTCAATCGTGCAGTGGCAGTCTGGGAACAGTACTATCTGCTACCTCCTACTGCTTCTGCCCAGCCTCAACAGGATAGGAATCAACTGCTGCGGTATCAAAGGGGCTACAAGCTAATCAGGATCGGTCTCAATCTTTCGTACTATTTTCTTAACTATGATGGAAAGGACGATCCTTTCTTGCTGCTTTGGCTGGAGATAAGCCAGCTGTGGGTGCTGGAGCTGTAGGCCAGCATAGCTGTTGGAGCTATCTTTGATAGACTGTATCGCTCCCCACGAGTGCGTATGGATCCGCTCTCATGGGTAAGCCACGAGGTACGACCCTAGTTACTAACTAACTCTCTACAAACTCTCCCCATGAACGAAACATTCATGGGCCACTCAGCATCGGCTGCTTGTGGAACACAATGTGAGATGGGGATCTCACAAGTGGAGGGACTTGCATGGTTGCTTGTGCAATACACGGCTCTTAGCCTTATTCGCGACTCGATCCTAGATAGGGTTTGAGTTCGACTCATGACTGAGTCTTTCGTGAATAGTCATTGAGACAGAGTTCTCATGACCGCTAGTCATACTAGGTCGATGGCGAAACATCGCGCTAGATATTTAGCTGGCGTGGAGAAATTCCACGCTACTAGATAAATGCTAGACGAATCTTCCACGCGTTCCGTTTTTGGATCATGGAGTGAGTAGGATTGCTACCGCAACCTACTCTATCACACTTTACAGTCTCCCGCGGGAGTTCAGATCTACGATCCTTTGATTGTGGATCTCTCTCGTTGATTAGTTTTCATAGCTTTCTAATCCTCTCATAACTTTCATTCTCTCAACTCAAACACTCGAAAGATCTTTACACTAGCTTTTGCGTAGTGCATTTTGTTAACAAACACAATAGCTTTCAGCTACCCTCAACCTATTCCTCACCATGAAGATTGCCAAAGAGCGTACACCAGCTTCGAGTCTAAGCTGCGCGACAAACCAATCCTTCCTCTCATCGACCCGCGATGAATGCGAAATCGACGTTTCTCGCTCTACCACCTACAAACTTCGCACTGTTCCAGCAGATGCTGACAGCGCCAAGTACACCTTCAATGTCCAAATCATCAATGATCTGAGACTCCACGTCAAACCATCAAGTGGTGGACGTATGGAGAAAGTCTTCATCGGGCTCGCCATTGCTATGCCTGAAGACAAACATAACCTCCTCAAGGAGATGACTTCTAGCTCTGCCAAGAGCAGTTACGAATCTAGCTTGTGCAGGCCATCGTGAAATACGTTGGAATGCTTGCGCCAGATTGCAGTCAACACGATTCCTCCATGCGACGTACGTGGAGGTGAAGACGAAGCCGCTTTCCAAGCGCGTTTCCAGGCTGCCTGGAACGGAGCAGCTCAGCCTGCTTTGGACGACACTGACATTACGTTTGGCATAAATGCCTGTGTCGAAGCGGTCTGTCCCTACAAGGCTCTTGAAAAGCAGAAACGCTTCATGCGCCGCAGATGCGT